TATGTCTGGCATCGTGTCTCTACTCTTTTGCGGCATTACTCTCAAGCATTATGCGTACCACACAATGTCGCGACGGACGCAACGAACGACCAAGTACATATTCGCCACGCTCGCTCAACTTTCAGAGAATTTTATCTTCATCTATCTCGGTCTATCATTGTTCACGAGTCCGCCATCATCAGAGAAGGTCACAAGCTACTTCAAGCCGCTCTTCATCGTCATCACCGCCGTTGCTGTTGTCTTCACTCGTTATGCCGCCGTCTTCCCGCTATCGGAAATGATCAACTTCTTCCTGCGACACGCGCGCGGGCAGCGTCAAGAAGAGCTCCCTCATTCCTACCAAATGATGCTCTTCTGGGCAGGTCTCCGCGGAGCTGTCGGTGTCGCTCTCGCAGCTGGCTTCAAGGGCGATAATGCGCAGACGCTCCGTACAACTGTCCTTGTTGTCGTCGTGCTTACCGTCGTTCTGTTCGGCGGGACGACGGCACGCATGCTCGAGGTGCTGGGCATCCGGACTGGCGTAGAGGATGACGCGGCATCGGACAGCGACGAGGACGAACCTTCCCGTGCCTGGTTCACCGGCGGTCGGCGCGGACGCTTCCCGCCGTACGCCGATGAGGAACCCCCTACGCTCTCGCTCTCGCGGTCCAGCTCCTTTGCCACGCGCGGGCGCGCCGTCGGGCCTTACGGCTGGAACTACAACCACCATACACAGTCACCGATGCCCGCCCAGTCTGTATTCTCTGCCGCCTCGAGCGACGAGTACGACTCGGACGGTGGAGAAGTGTTACCTCTCGCGGCGACGTCGGGTGGTGGTCGCGGCGGCCGTGGCGATCAAAGTGCACCGCGTGTGGACGATTCGAAGTGGTTCCAGGAAATCGACGAGCGGTATCTACTCCCACTATTCTCGAACGCCACGGCGAGTCGCACATTCCACGCGCGCCGGGCACGGCGTAGCGCGCAAGCTTCTGGTGAGGTCGCTGAACAGGTTGGCGAAGATGAGGTCGAAGACGATGGCAATGCGGAGATGGAACTCGGCGTGCCGCGGCGGAGCTCAGCGCAGGATATCCCTACAGGAAGCATGTCGGGTGAGGCTAGCAGATCTGAGCGCAACCTCTCCAGTCCAAGCTTGCGGAATGGCGATGTCTCCGGGGGGCGAGGATCATAGATATCTTGAGGGCTGATTGCCTCCCTCATCAAGGACCAGTTGCCTCTGTATATATTGTAGTGTTCTGGTGTGGGTTTCCCCCCGACTGACTGTTTGGTGGCCTTCGGGTGTACGTGAAAGAGGCGTGGACTGCAATACTGAGCGAGCCTGTAGGTGGTTTGTCGCAGTCGAACACGACCCGAACGCAAGCGTACACAAGAGGTAAGCTGGAAGATGCCATGTTTGTGTAGGCAAATTACGCCAGCCTCGTCTCACAGGTTGCCGCTGACCACGACATCGCTTGGTTGTATGTGGGAGGGCGATATCCAGGCGGCGAATGGCGTTGAGCGAGTACGACGCGGCCACGACTCTGGGGAGCTGTGCAGGGGAGACGAGCGAGCCCGCGGCAGCTGATTATTCGCTCGGCTGGGCGTCTCTGCGAGCGCGCTCGCACGAAGGGTTACTGTACGACTGTTCGCTCTCTACACGGACGGAGCGCGCGTATCGTGATTCAGTCACGAAGGGCTGTATCGAAGGTCCCGCCGCAACGTCGTCTGTCCTCCTTCCTTCCTGCCCTATGCGATCATCGGAGGATGATTTCAATCTGCCGAGAGCCTGAGCGACCGAAGCACGTAGACAGTGATTTTTATTTCAGGCGAGAATTGTCTAATTCGGTGTCGTAGCTTCTTGGATAACAAGACGGAGGACGGTGTCAAACCTGGCCCTACTACGAACGCGTCCGGAGGACATCGATATCCTAGACGAAGTTTCTCGACTCTCCCTACCATGGGACCCATACGGGGACAAAGGGCAGACTTTTTGCAATTCTTTACAGGGAAGAGGATGCGATGATAATGATATCGCCTATCACAACCCATCGTTTACCGTCAATGTTACGTGGTACTAGTATCGAGTATGGGACGATGCCCCACTGGCATCGTGACACATCAGCTTACTTTTGACCCAGCCCTTGATGTAATGATTTTATCTTTTCGTCATCCCCGAGAAGGGCGGCACGCTCCGCTGACGTATGTACTCTGGGGCTGCTAGGTGACTACCCTCGTGTGCTGTCTACCGTACGGGCGAAATCCATGACCTTGCAAGAGCTCCCTATTTTCCCGCGCGCTTCTGTGTTCTCGGAGCGAGTCGTTTTTGGCCAAGCGCCTTGTCGCAGAGGATGGGTTTTCTACTGTCACGCGTACAAGAATCTTGGAATCGATCGGAATACTGGTGAAACTCAGTTGGTACGCTTATGCCAATTAGTTGACGGTCGTATATTCGTTAATTTGCCTGAAAATGCAGGAGTTGAGATACCTGGGAAAGAACCAAGTTACGGGGTTCTTCGCACGTTGTCGTCTGCATGGATAAATCCGATCGTCCGAAACTGCGGGTCTACCTCTCGGCGGGCCGCGCTATCATGTCATTTGCATCGTGTCTCTCTCTTCCCTCTTGCACCTCAAACTCTGACACTTACACTTTATCCTTGGTCTTCATGGAACCGCGTATATATGTGGAAATTATGTCAAGATAGCTGCAGGCGCCGCAGATAATCAGTGCATCTTTCAGTCCAACTTGAATCTCTTCTACGACTTGGCCCTCATTGGCTTGGGTTAGAGCGCAAACAAGGACACATTCTGCGTATTCCTCACATGAGAGAAGACAATGCGGCTACAGATTACATTGGAAAGAAGACTGTGTGGCGATAGTATGGCCGCTACCTCGAAACGAGTTTGTCGTTTGTTGATAGTTTACTGGCAGGAGGACACTGTCGGCACGAAACGAGCATTCTTCTAGTAATTTCAGACAGCCGTGTCACCCTGCGTCGTCTGTCCGAGCACGAAGAGCTCCCCGCTCGAGTCGCTGCTCACATAGAGACGCCCATCCTTTCCGAATGCGAGTCCGACAGGACGGATGCATGTCTCCGGACAGCTGGTCAAGTTTGAAGCTTGAATTAGAAAAGTATAGGTTGAGTTGGGCGCGTCTGGCGTCGAAAGCCTGGGGGTGCATCGTGAAAAGCGACACGCAAGGTGATGTCTATCCCAACGCACCGTATGACCCCATACCCAGTTGGCGGCGTACGATCAAAACTTCCATGGAAACTAACGAAAGCATCTCCCGACCAAGAGCGAGGGAAGCCACTTGCTGTCGTCCTTCCTTCGAAAAACTTGATGTCTAACGGGACGCTGTGAGCCTGTAATCCGCTCGACTGTCAAGAGGTGTACTCCGGAAGGATATAACTTGATATACCCACCTGGAAGCTGCTCTGAGGCGGGACATTGTTGCTCGCGTTTTGGCACCAAGCGTCATCACGGTCCGCCTCAAGGTTCAGCGAGAACTGCTCTCCCCGTGCGAAGCTGGCGTATTGAGGATCACCTACCGGATCAGCGGAGCCATTCCACATTGTCGTGCAGTCTGGAAAGCCGAAGTATGGAGTAGAGTGAGGCGACACGACATTGAGCTCGTCAGCCGGATTGTCGTTCACGAATGAGGCAGCTAGGCCGGTGACGTTATCGATAGAGGCACCGTTTTCGACCACAAAGAGCTTCTTCTCGCCCAAGGGGGAGAATGCAAAGCCTGCGGGGTTACGGATACCGTATGCAATAAGAGCACCACTCGTGTACTGCAGAGGAGAGCTGGGTAGAGAGGCGTTGAGAGGGAAGGCACGAACTTGTGATCGGCCAGAAGATGGTTCGCGCGCCGTTGGGTCGATGTTGTTGCCTGGGCCGGAGGCAATCAGGAGAGCACTCCCGCCTACGGCGAATTGAAGTGTATGCGTCGTAAGCTCTAAGGTCGTAGGGATCAGATGGAAGCTCTGGATCGAAGAGAAAAGACGAACCCCCGCCTGCGGGAAAGCCGGTAACTAACACAGCAGGTTCTCCGCTAACAGCGAGCTCGCTCGCATTGTACTGGTAAACAAGCGCGTCGTTTGCAGTGCTGAGATATAATTTGTCTCCGTCGACTTGAATACCTTGAGTGAAGTTGGGATTCGAGAGCACTACTGTGCGGAGGATACCCGTTCCATTCGCGGCCGGATGAAACGCTGTCACTCCAAAGCCTCGCTCGACAACCAAGAGGTTGTGTTGGGAGTCGAAAGCAATGCCACGCGGGAGTGAGAGACCGGAAAATAAGACACTGGCGCTCAGGCTAGGTGCCACCGTGACAGGTGAAGCAAAAGACGCCCCGAACGGCTGAAAGGTGGTCTGAGCAAGCGTCGGCGTGATGAGCGCCAACCCCGCGCTGAATACTACAACAGGTAGAGTCATGCGCTCAGGCGACACAGCTTGGGCCCTCTCAGAGCACAAGTATATAAGCTTTTTGGCGTGTGAAAGAGGATGCCACATAGGCTATTAGGTTATTGATCAGAGGGTATGGCGGCCGACCACGCACAGGCTGGGCGCGAGTTTAATCTGTACACTGAAGCGGTACGAAGGGCGAACGCACCTGACTTCCCCTGCCGCCTTGCAAATCAATAGAGCTAGCTGCGCCACTACCTCTGTTAGAATCCGCATTACAGGCACGGACGGTACCAAGCACAGTCCGGATCTGAACCAACTCATCATCTGCTATCGAGTTGCCTGAGTGAATATGAGGGCCGGGGTGTAGCTCGGCATAATCACATCGCGGTGGTGGTGGTTAATGTCAATGGTTAAGCAGCATCGCTCATACGGCGGATGTGTAACCCTACTACGTTTGTGGCTTGAGCAGAAACTGCATTTGTTGCCGGAGTCCCGAGATCATCAGCACACTTCTTGACAGCAGGGAGAAGGTAGGCTATATCCAAGGGGCACTCGTTTTCATAGTATCCGGGGAGCAGTACGTACCGAAAAAAATACAGATGTACCACAGACCGCAATGCTCCCTGTAAGGCTCGAACTTGCGACCCCAGGATTACACAGTCGAAAACCGTTCATATATACGCGCATATGTGAGACCTGCGCTCTAGCCAACTGAGCCAAGGAAGCTATCCACGTAGGGATTTATTATAAATATAAATATATAAGTAGGCTTTGCGACGTCGGTGTTACTGCCTAGATCTTCCGTCGCCTACACCACGCTCAGTTTTATGTGCCGTACTGCCTGCTTTTAAGAGACAGATGCTTCCAAAGCATATGTCCTCTCGATAAGCCTCGGAATTCAGGCAACGTAGTTTAACGAGGTGCGCGTATGCATTCGTTTAAGCGACGCCGCGACGGCGCTGACAATTACACTCGTAAGATACATTGCCCCTCCTAGCTGTTCTTACACACCCCTGCAACCCTCCGAGAAATTCCCGGGTATCGGAAACGAAGAACGAAGAACGAAGAAGATAGTGATGTCGGATGATGATGATGTATCGCGGTGCAGATGCTTGCGGGGGGAGGTCCTGAACGCGTACATTCAAGATTAGCTCGTGAGCTTGAGGACGGAAAAAGGAGACGCACATATCGCTCTAGCGTAGCACTACTGGCAGCGCACGTGAAGATGCTCAAGCAATGGTGCAAGCGGCGCCGGAGCCGGAGTTGCCAGTGGACTCTGCGTCGACGGGGATGTCGGGGTTGGGCTCTGCCGCGGCAGGAGCGGAAGTGAAGTAGGAGAGGATGGTGGCGAAGGAGTCCATTGAAGCGGTTGGTGCAGATGAGGGCGAGTTGATAGAGCTGGGTTTTGAGAGAGGATGTGGCGCAGATGCTTCAAATGGCTCGAGCTGAGGATGTTGCTGCTTCCGTCGCTGTCCTTATATACCCCCGCCGGTTCAACAATATGTATACGCTCGGTACCGAGATGAACAATAAGCCACGGAGCATACGGCCGCATCCAGTGGCCGCATCATGCAGAGTACAAGATACATGCGGCCATGTGCATTAGCGGTCGCGCGCACAAAACAATAAAGACTCACGCAGCCGCGCATATACCCTTCGCGCGCCTCCACTTCCAGCGCACGTGACCATGTACAAGACAAAAAGATCGGGAGGGTGAGCGTGCCGCGGGTCGCGCTTCCGGATGATACGCTCTGATAGCCCTCGGACCGTTATTGTTTGCGTGCGAGGGAGCTAAATAAGGCGCAAGGGCGTGGGCCGGCTTTGGACTTACCGTACGTTTTGACGTGGGGGTGTCGGGACCGAGGGGAGGCACTGTTAGAGGTGAGTGGCACACTGATGCAACGCTATACGACAGTCACGATTGTTACGAGGCTATATGGGACCTGTGGCAGTAGTTAAACGATGAGAAGCGAATCAGCCTATTCGACCAGCTCACAAGTCTATGCCGCTTCGATATCATCCGGATGGTAAACCCCCCTTCACTCTAGCGCTAAGCGGCTCGCTGTAAGCGATGCAGCTCGTCTATAACCCCCGCCACGAAAGCCCAGAAAGCTCTACTCCGTCCCTGAGTAACGCCACACACCATCTGCACAAGACAGCGATCGCAGGGCACACCTGCAAGACAATAAGAACCGGCCAAAAGCGCGTCCGCCGTGATGGCTCTTGCGGGCCGCACCACACGCCATGCGAATCGATTGCTCCGCCCGCGGAGCTCTGAACATCGCATTTGTCGAATAAACAACGGAGCGAAGGCGACGAGGCCTCGGCTGCGAGCAGCCGAGTCGGCCTGCGCACCACAATACACCTGGCGACGACCCTAAATCATCACGGCACGCTTCCAATCTCAACGCCAGCCTGACTTCGATCGTTTCATTTCACGTTCATAGCTTCAAGTGAGAGGTAGAGAGGGAAGATGAAAAGAAGTCCATAGATTACATCCCTTAAATTACCATCTAGGGCGCGCCGGTCCATGCTGGGAAGACCTATAGTAGTTTGCTTGACGCCGCAGGCGCGATGCGCGCGCGGACGAGTTTAATGATCCAGAGCGGGAGAGCAGAAATGGCGACGATGACAGCGACCTTCCAGACGAAACGCGTCGAGAGAACAAAAGAGAGATCTGTACGCGTGTCAGCGACCACATGGGCGGATGAAGGCACATGTAAGAAGGGCATGGCCGAGCAAGGGAAACGGACCGAAATATTCAGGTAGGAAGGCCATGCTGACTGCGTATATGAGCAGGGTCACAATCTCCGAAATGACCATGTAGTAGTGCCTACAACATCGTTAGCGCCTCGCTCAGCGCACGAGAAAGGGGGCCGAACCAGATTGTCACCTCAAGTGCGACCATAATGAGCTCGTTCAGGATGAGCGCTGTGAAAGAGATCGCGACGATGTTGAGGAACTCGGTCTCGAAGAGTACGAGGGAGATAATCATAATCGCTGCGCCTTGGTACACGGAGATCATGAGCCAGATGAAGAATGTCTTGTAACTCAGAGCGCGACCCTACAATCGGCGCGGTCAGCCACGGGCCGTTCTTTCCGGATGTTAGGGAGGAGGGTACCTTAGTGAGCTCCTTATACAGCTCAGGGTATAATAGTGCGACGTCCTCGCTCACGTCCCGATCGAGCACGAGCGAGAAGACGGGCGCCATGGTATAGAGCGTCGCGTAGCCGACCATGAGCCAACCCTGGTACAAAGCGATCGGCGCGAAGTAGAATATGGACGAGAAGACGGCCTGCATAACGGAGATGATCAAGCCTCTGTGGATGACGAACTGCGCGAGCTTCGCGCTGCGCCTATATGAATTGCGTCCGTGCCAGAGCAGGAGCTTGGTGAGGTAGCTGAATTGAGTGACGGAGAAGTCGGCCGCGAGCGAGGCTTGCATGCCCTCCTTGCCGACGATGCCAACGCCGACGTCGGCCGCCTGGATCATGGAGACGTCGTTACCCCCGTCGCCGATGCAGCAGACGCGCTTGCGGGTATAAGATCGGATAAGGCGCGCGACGTCTGCCTTTTGAGTAGGCGAACAGCGACAGGCGACGACGGCGGAGAGCTTGGTCGTGATCTCGATGAACTCGTTCTTGAATAGGGTGAGGCAGAGCTGGAACAGCGAGTTAAAGAGAGAGTGAGAGGGGGTGGCAGGGGACGGACCTGGAGGGACTCGCCATCGATGACGAGACAGCAATCGAGCTTGTTCTGCAAAAAATCCAACTCGTTCCGAACCTGCTCTCCCGTCTTCACTGCGCCAGCCTTGGCTTAAAGCAACGTCGAGCACAGAGAAACAAACACGCACGCTTCGCGACTTGGTGGATGTACTGGTTGCGCGCAACAAGCTTGGTCGAGATCGCGATGACGGTCGCCGTCTCGATCTTGTCGCCAGTGAGCATCCATATGCGTACGCCAGCATTACGGAGCAACTCAAGCGTGCTGCGCACGTCGTCCTGCAGCTTGTCCTCGACACCAGTCAGACCGAGCAGCTCAAGGTCGCGCTCGAGCAACTGCGCGACGACCGCGGCCATCGCCTCCGAGCGGCCCTCGAGCTGCACCGATGCGGCGTGGTACGCGGTCTCGAACGCGGCGTACGCGGCCGGCGCGAGTCGCCTGCGTGCCATGACGAGCGTGCGTAGGCCTTCACGCGCCATATTGGCCGTCTCCTCCTCGAGCCAGTCGTTCCGCTGCACGATTTTGCCCATGACGACGTCGGCGCCCTTCTGGTAGAACGTCACATCGCCCGTGATGTCGTCGCGCACGACGATTCCCATCCGCTTCGACTCGGATGTGAATGGGAAGAGCTCAAGGACTGTGTAGGAGAGCGTGAGGCCGGAGGACGTGCGTAGCTCGATGCGCGTCCGGTCGCGGAACGTGAGGCGGAGGCCGATAGACTCGGTCCATTTCACGATCGCGACTTCATCCGGTGAAGAGGCCTGACGGGGTGGCTTAAGCACATTTATTGTGGTGAGGATGAACGAAAGCTTACCTGATATGTTACCGAGCCATCGTCATTCGTCACCGGCGTCACATTATGGCACAACGCAAGACCAAGCACGACATCGTGCACGCGAGCAGACATGTCGCGGCGCCCGCGCGTCGCAAGCTGGACGCCAGTAGAGAGGGAGTTTGCACGGGCATGGCCTATCACGGATTTGAGAGAAGGAAAGGAAGAAGGACTCAGAGAGATGTCGAGCTTTAACAAACAAGAAGCGTACTGCTTTCGGCGCCCCCAAACGACGCGGCCAGTTGCAGCGCGACCTCGTCCATCGAATCAGCGCCAAACGACATCGTGCCCATGTGCAGCTTCTTCATCTCCATCTCTGTCGCCATGCGTCAGCGCATACACTCTCAAAGAACGAGGGCTTAGGGAAGGAGAGAGCACGGTAGAGGAAAGAGAGTGGGAAACCGGAAACGGGCGCACCATTCTGCGTCAGCGTGCCCGTCTTGTCGCTCAATAGATACTCGATCCTGCCCAATTCCTCCGGTAACGTGCTCGTACGGACAATCGTCCCTGGGATCTCGCGGTCGTGTTGGATATGGTGCGCATACACGGTCTTGCCCATATCGAGGTTCACACGCAAACTGTATCCGGTCGGAAAGGGAAGGAGCGTAGATGCGGCGGAAACGACCAAGGAGTGTGCGGAGAAAGAGGATTGGGAGAGTGAGCGGAGTGAGGCCAGGACAGGACGCAGGACACGCACCTGATGGGGATAATGGACGAGAAGAGGATGAGGAAACGGAATACGTAGATGTACCACAGCCCGCGGAAGCCATTGAGCGCGACCAGTGCAAGGGACAGTGCAAACGTGACCGCGCAGAGGATCTATTACGCAACTGAGCAAACACCCCTGTCGCTCCAATCATGCGCAACGCACCTTCGCGAGGCTGTTGATCTCTTGATCAAGCAGGCCGACCTTCGTCTGCGGGTGACTCGTATTGAGCACCGCGCGCGTCTCAGCACCGGTGTATACAACGAGACCGACGGCGGAGCCCGCCGCGAGGACGGTGTTCGCCCAGAGCATGTTCTCTGCACTGAGCGGCTCGACGGCTGGTGGTGGTGCGAGCGGGACGTCGTCGGCAGTCGCGACGAGCGGTGGCGCGGCCCCCGTGCTTGGCGACGGCGCGGAGAGCGTGAATGTGCCGACGAACGTGTGGATATCTTTGATTGGCTCGT